AAAAATTAATTTAATAAAAACATTAACTTGAATTTATGAGCCGACCTACCTGACGGTACGAATGAAGTGGGACAGAGTATAATAATCTTATATCCCTTCTAAATTCTTTAATCATATTTATTTTACAAAGACGTAGTACACACAAGGCTAAAATGCTGATATGGTCGCCAAAACTAGCACCTTTGAAACTGGTCTCTCCTTTGTGCGCCATATCGAGATTTGCTGTCAGGGGTCATTAGAGTGTAGTTTCATATAGTTTTATAAAGTCACCGCTTACAATGGAGTAAAAACCCACTTAATTTTCGTCTGCTCCGCTTTTCTCCTCCTTGCTTCTCTCTGCTAGCTGCAGCTAAGAGTGCGTATGTTACGGGGAAGGGGGGTGAGGGGTGGTATGGAGCAGTGCTCATGAAGGGGGGGCCCAGTGAGCTGAAGTTTCTTCTTGCTGTTTGCATCAAAGATATCAGCCTCATTTTGGCCAACGTTAAAGGTATTATAGACGTTTTTCCCAAATTTTCTCCACTTTAAAAAAAAAAGGCACATACACAACCCTGTACCCGCTCCCAAGAGAGAACGCCTATTAAACCTCTGTTTAAAAGTTGCTCTTTGCATCTTTTATTTACAAGCTTACTTTCCAGACGAAGACTTGCAATTTTCCCACTATGCCAGACTCAACACTGGTAAGGGAAAATAGGGAGGAGCATGTAGGACGGCCTCATGTAAACATATCACCAGAATGATTGACAATTAGGAGGACCACTGATTTAGATGATCCACCCAGAATATCATCTTCAGCTTTAGCTTTAATTAATGTGCCAGAAGCTAAAATCAGGCTGATATATGAGCGGATTTATCGATCAAATCGCAATTGGCATTACTTTCGCCTTGACGTTAAAACTTATCCCATACCACATTTCTCTAAACCGACTCCAGTACTTCTAGAACTTTTACCAGCTTGCCTGTTTCCTTTCTTTCATATACCCCCTCCTCACTCTTTTTCTATCTCCCCTTAATTCTTAACCCCCCTTCCTTTCTCACCTCCCTCTCTGTCTGCATTGTATATAATTACATTCCCAAAATCATTTTCATTAAAGTTACAAAAATAAGTACCAAGCACATCCTTATGGCAACAACCATAATATTTTGTTTGTGAAACCAAATCTGTTGGGCTGTTATCTAGCTCTGGCATATATATTCCCAAAAATAGATGCTGGAGATCAGCCTAATTTCCAGTGTAGTCCTGTTTCTCTGACTGTGACTAACTGGATGTGCTCTCTTCATCCTCTGACATGGGAGCTGGCTCGGAGCTCGTCTGCCTGGCTGTGTGTTTCCTGGACGGGGCCGCCTGTGGAGCTGGTTGACAGTTGCCTTTTGTATCTATGCTTCTTTTTCTATGTCTGCTTCTGTCTCCTTGAACCCCAGTGGGCCTCAGCAGATGGCCGCTCACACTGAGCCTGGTTCTGCTGGAGGTTTCTTCCTGTTCAAAGGGAGTTTTTCCTCTCCACTGTCGCTACAAGCATGCTTAGTGTGAGGGATTGCTGAAGAGTCAATGAGTCGATGCAATCAGCTGGTTTTCCTTAGATAGAAAACTTTGAATCGATCTGACTGGATGATCTGGTGAACTTGAGATTACTTGTGTTGTGAATTGTTGCTATAGAAATGAACTGAATTGAACTGAATTGAATTTATGGAAATACTTTCGCTACCGAAGGGCGGCAACAGCTTAGAGGAGGAAAATGTTGTACATGCATTCGGACAGAGGCAGCCAAAGGAGAAATACAGCTATTATTATGATGTACCTGTGGGAGCATCAAGCACCGTTATTTGCTAAATTGAAGATAATGTCTATACCTTCTTGAAATGAACAAGTTACCTTTAGCATCAGGCATTAGTAAAACAGATACTACCATTATGTCACCGAAGCAAACAGCTTGGTGATTGTACTTGAGCATGTCAATCAGAGTTGCTGGATTGTGTGTTTGATTAGTTTTAAGAGAAAGTAATTTCACACTTTCTGTAAATCGTGCAGTCTTATATAATTTCAGCTGCATCTTTGCACAGGTAACAATTTATACAGAGGTACGAAAAGTCATTGAAAGGGAGTGACACTGCAAGGGAGAGAAATTTCACCATGACATCTGTGATCTAAAATCAGCTTTTACCTGCAATCTAAGTTAACTATGATAGTAGAAAAAATACAGAAAGTCAGCAAGGATTTAGATTTCCTTTTTTTTTAAGCATTCGTTTCAGAAACAGATCTTTAATACTTTAAAACTTTTCATACTGGCCCATGCCTGGTTCTGATTGATGTCACACTAACCGTAAATTCTGTTCCTCCTTTTGAAATTAAATCTATGACATTTGAGCCTAATTTATATAAAGTCATGCTTTAAATCATTTGCTTCTAGCACTAGCAAATATACTAGGAGATACTGTGATCCCAGTCCTCCCTAATATGCTCAGACTAAAAAGTTGTTCTAATTAAGAAAAACAAGCCAAATTGTTTTACACTGTTACACAAAACAAAATAATAATATTTTATGTATATTAATATATATTTGCGCAGATAGGGAAAATCACAGAAGAAGGAGCAAGAATGAGAACAGCAGAGTTGAAAGAAGAAACGTTTAAAAACAACGACAACAACAAAAAGACAACAAGAAAGGCAAAGGGAGCACAGACCTTCGACAAGCTGCACATTTTGCCCCAAATTGTGACTAAAGGTGTCTACAATCACTCTCAATGCATTCTGGAAATCAAAGTATCTGATTTCCATGCAAAGTCTTTGGGAAGATGTGTCAAGCAGCCCTGAGAGGAACTGCAGCCAAACTCCAAAGGTTTTTAAAAAAAACAAGAGAATGGGTTTTGTAGAAAAAACAGAGAGCGAGCTCTGATGATTCATTTCACCCAAACTGTTTTTAAAATGAGCTATGGTGAAACAGTGTATGAATACACAAATTGACTAAAAGTGTTAAAACTTAAAAAACAACAATATTCGATTGTTTATTCTGGTACTTGCAGTTTTTTCTACCACAAACCTTAAATTCACTTCCATCCGCTATGAACGACATGCTGAAGGTCTCCCCCACCCAAACTGCATATTTTAGTAGGATCCTAATCCTGATGAATTGACGACACAGTTCATATTTTGAGGTGAACTTTTACAATTGAAATGTGTTAAAACAATTTTTCCGAAGTCATCAAAGTAAATAAAGCCAAGCTGTTCCAAGCTGCCTCGTAACGACAGAACAGAGCAGAACCAATACTGAGGCTGTCAATACTCACTGCTGCCCCTCTGGTTTTTTAGGGAACTGCTTATTCCTACCCCACAGCTTTAGGGGACTGTGGTGGATACAGACGGGGTGCGGGGGGCATGCGCACCCCCCTTTTGGAGAGCAAAATAAATTTTTTCTGCCTGAAATCTTAAAACATACTTCATTCTATTAAGATTAACAGCTGGTCACCTAGAACGTTGCTGAGACTCCGGCAGATATCCGAGCATAAATTTGAATTGTTTACAGCTCAGGTCTCACCTTACTATAACAGGTTTGTTTGACTTCAGAGGCTGCATCTTCCAAAGAACCGGTCTATCTGGACTGGATCCTTCTAGAACCCGGTCTCTTTGGACTGGATCCTCATAGGACCCAGTCTCTTTGGACTGGATCCTCCTAGGACCCGGTCTCTCTGGACTGGATCCTCATAGGACCCAGTCTCTTTGGACTGGATCCTCCTAGGACCCGGTCTCTCTGGACTGGATCCTTTGAGGGAATGTAATGATATAAAAGGGGTAGAAAGATTTTATTTAATCTAAACAATGTATGTTTAAAAAATATATCTGCAAATCTCTTACATTCAACAACCAAAAATTATTTAGTTAAGCAATTTGTTTAAAATAGCAATTAAAAAATACGAGAAAAAAAAACATAAAAACTATTCAATAGTAAATTAGGTCATCAAATAGAGATATAAACATTGGCAAGGAACAACCACTGACTGAAAAAGATAAAGAATATAAGATTTAAGACGGAATTAAGAATGACATAACAGAAAAGACAGAAAAGCATTGGGTCTGTTAGTATCGGTGGGAGACATCTTCTTTAAGGACAAAGTAAGTATATTTATTTCTTTTTAAATGCTGTAATTGTAAAGCGAGTTTTGGTTAGAGAACATTTTTGTATGAAAAATTTGACCATGCTAATTATGTTAATAATTATAATTTCTACTTCTTTATCTTGGGCAATAATATCAAATTTAATTGCGGAGGGGGAGAGAAAATGAATGTTTAAGGATTCAGAGACATGACATGACAGGCAGGCAGACATGCAGGCAGACTGGACTAAAAACATCATAACCTCCTTGGCGTAGGTATGAATCATAGTACAGAGGTGGAATAGGTCTACAGGACGCTATTCTGCTCTCTGAATAAGAAGCTGGTGAAGATTCTCAGTCATCATAGTCATTCCCGAAAAGTTCAAAACAATCCACTGGACTTTGAACTAAATCCCTCTGAATTAGATGGGTAAACCAAGACTGAATTAAGATTCATCATATAAATGACAACATATCAATATACTATTGCGATTATAATTATAATAAATATAACTTATAATTATAATTATAAAATAATTAATATTGTGACCATACCAGTAGATTATATAATTTCAATCTCTCTCATTATTTGACCAAACCTGCCATGGTAATGTTGAAGTATTTTCTGAGCAGATGATAAAGTCTAACTCTCCGTCTTCATAAATCGTGTATGAACTGATGTAAGCCGCTTTTTTATGTTCTTTAAAAACATTTTTATCGTCATTAATATTCATTTTAACCTGCAAACTAAAACCCCTCTTGCATCTGCTCTGTTGGGCCAGTCATACCTTCTCCTTGTGTGAAATGAAGCTTAAGGAGCTGAAATCAAATCTTGTTTTTTCACCAGCAGAAGAAAAAAGTGTTTATCTACAAACAAAGCCGAAGTCACAGCTGAGGGGATGGAGGGAGCTCACCTCACCGAGGGCTTCAGCCAGGCAGACGCACAGCTGTCCAAAGTCTGGAGCTGCAGATTTTTCTCTGTTCCGAGTCTGAATGCTGGCTTCACGGAGTGGAAAGATCAGGTAGTGAGCTGGTAACGAATCCCTTCATTTGTCCTGACTCGCTCCCTCTGTTTCAACCGCATTACAGCTGCAGTACTGCTGCGCGCGCGAGCGTCTGTGCGCTATGGTACATGTGCGCAAAGGGTGGCCACAGGAAACCAGACAATAGCACCTCGAGGATGGAGGAGGAGGAGGGGTGATATGAGTCGGCTGGGCTGTAGGGAAAGGACAAGGGGCCCCTATTGATTCCTCCTTTTCCAACGTGAAAAACGTCCAGGTTTTCTGGACTAATTAACTCAACCCATGCTTAATACATGATTTTGCGTTTTTCTGTCTTATAAAAACAAACTTTCACTTTTCAACTATTGTCTTGAAAGGTAGCTACAGGGACCCATGTCTGTCTGTCTAGTTGGCTGCTCTGAAGTCCTGTTGAAAGGCTCTTAGTTTACACCATTTCTTAGCAGCCTAATGATGTGAAACATAGGAGTGCTGCATTTGCATTTCAATTCAAAAACAATCTTTTTGGGGATTTGTTTTGTTTTCTATTTCTTTTCATACATATAATGATTTTTTCCTATTTCTATCAGAGCTCGACAAACTAGAAAAAAAAAATGAAAAATATTAGAAACTTTGCTGCTTAGTTTTTAGAAACTTTGTTTCTGAAATAAATAAAAGAATATATAAAAGTAGTGGCTCTCATTTGAATACAGAAATATTTCCCATTCCAAATGTGTAACGTATAAGGAGACACAATTCTATGTCTATTAGGGTTATCCTAAACCTAATAACCTAACCCAATACAACCTTTTCCTTTCTAATATGATACACATATCACAGCTTTTCTTGTATTAAGGAATGTTAGAAAAATGTTGATGTCATATTTTCACTCAAAGAACAAAAGTCAACTGTTTGAGAGCAACTGACCCTGAAACCAGAAAAACTATTTCTTTGACTTATATCGGACTGATATTATTATTGGATTGAGACATTCCCTTATGTATATGTATAATACAGATGTATGGACGGACAGACAGACAGATAGATAACGAATAATCGAGTAAGGTATTGTACAGTCACATAATGAGTTGAAATAGCAATGGAGGTAGTATAAGACCAACAATTACTTGGAATCGATCAAGAAAAAATTATTTTTTTTCTCTGTGCATAATCTTTGCAAACATTGGTGAAAAAAGCAGGTCTTGATCCTCCGTATTTTATTCTTATTAAAATGTCTTTCATATTATACAATTAGAACCTGAAGCTACATTAATGTCACACATTTTACATAATGGTAGGCACTGAAGTATTTTATTAGTGAGGTGGCTGGGTTATTACAAAATGTTGATTTTTGTACTTGTTTTTGTCCAACTTTAATATTTTCGTTAGGACCTATTGTAAAGTATTTATATAAGTATTTATCTTAAGTATCAGAGCAGCGGGACAGCCATAAAATGTTATATCTACACAGAGTGGCCTCCAGAAGCTGAGGTATGACATAATCCTGAAGTCCTCACAGGAATAATAGTTATAGAAAAAGAAATCATTATAAAAGGCCTAAAATACACCCAGTCTCTAAATTCTCATAAAATAACAAAAAGGAGAAAGGTTATATCTCAGAATAACATTATCTTGAAATTTAGGTTGATCAAAGTGCTGCCACACCATTGTTAAAACACCGTTATAATGTCTGAGACCACTAAGAGTTATTTTTAACAAGGTGGCAGGGCGGTGTTGGACAGGTTCGCATTGTATTCAGGATGGCATTGAGCTGTGACCATGTGTGATTGTCTTTGTGAACACCATACAGACAGACAAGAGGGGAAGTGGTCTTTGAGGTCAGGGTCTGTCAGGCTGATCACTTCACAATAGCAACAGGGAGGACAGGAAATCCTGCTTACTACTGAAGTCATACACATGTACAGTAGGAACAGCACTGCACACAGCAGCAGATGTCCTCAATCCCCCTAATTGTTGGTTTTTAATGAAGAACATCTGTTCATGAATGCATGAGTTATGTGACAAAACTGTCATGATTCTGCCTTTTGATAATAAAGTCTAAGTCTAAATCTCAAACTGCTTCCCAGGCGCTGCACAATGGCAGCCCACTGGTCCCCAAGGGGATTGGTTAAATGCAGAGGGTGAATTTCATTGCTTTGTACTTGTGAAAGTGTAACGACAATAACACTTCTATGTCTTCTATTCTATTCATTCCTCCATTCCTTTGGTTAATTCCTCAGTAATGTCTCCTAGATTTTGGTTCCTGAGTTTCATGTCCATCTATTCTGGGTTATATCTAGTTTTACTTCTTCATTATATTTTGCAATAAATCATCTATGCCTCTTCAGCTCTGCATTTGGGTCCTCAGAAAGTATCTATTAATCCTGACAGCAGAATTCAGCCACCATGGAGCCAGCAGAGCCAAGCCTGAAACACCAAAAAGCACATTATTTTCTTTTCAGTTTTTTTTTTCACAACAGTGTCGTGTCTAGCAATAAGGCAATAGGAATTGTTGTCTATTTCTTAGATACAATTAATCACGGTTAGAAAATAATCACAGAAAACCAAAATTAAAATAGGGTTTACTTTTATTAATAATACTTGTCACAGTTTTGTTATGATATTATGTTTAATGAACTAAGCTACTGGAATGAATACAGAATATATTAAAGAATCAGTAAACATTAAAAAGGGGATCCAATAAGTTCTTGAGTAAGTCTTTGATAATATTCAGTTCAATTCAGTTCATATATATATATATATATATATATATATATATATATATATATATATATATATATATATATATATAGTGCCAATTCACATCACAGGTAGTCTCAAGGCACTTTACAGTTCAACCAGATCGTGCAATCAAATTGATTCAGTTTTCTATCTAAGTAAAACCAGTTGATTGCATCGACTCATTGACTCTTCAGCAATCCCTCACACTAAGCATGCTTGTATCAACAGTGGAGAGGAAAAACTCCCTTTTAACAGGAAGAAACCTCCAGCAGAACCAGGCTCAGTGTGAGCGGCCATCTGCTGAGGCCGACTGGGGTTCAAGGAGACAGAAGCAGACATAGAAAAAGAAGCAGAGATACAAAAAGCAGCTGTGAAAGGCGGCCCCGTCCAGGAAACACACAGCCAGGCAGACGATCAGCTCCCATGTCAGAGGATGAAGAGAGCACATCCAGCCAGTCATGGTCAGAAAAGCAGGACTACACTGGAAAACAGGCCAAGCTCCAGCATCTATAAACAAGGGTGTCTGGCTAATCAGCTTCTTTTTCAAAGACTCTGGTCCAAAGACTATAACTTCTGTTTTGTCTGCATTCAGAAGGAGAAAGTTAAGAGTCATCCAGGTTTTTATGTCTTCAGACATGCCTGTAATCTATGTAATGGGTTAGCTTCATCTGGATTTATAGACAGATATAGCTGGGTATCATCAGCATAACAGTGGAAATTAATCCCATGCTGTCTAATAACTCTGATTGGGAGCATATAGTATATAGTAAAGAGAATTGGTCCTAACACTGATCCCTGTGGTACTCCACAGGTAACCTTTGAGCATGAGGAAGATTTGTCATTAACGTGAACAAACTGAAATTGATCAGATAGATAAGATTTAAACCAGTCTAGAGCTGTTCCTTTAATTCCACCAAAATATTCAAGTCTTTCTAAAAGAACATTATGATCAACTGGATCAAATGCACCACTGAGATCCAACAGGACGAGCACAGATACAAGTCCATTATCTGAGGCCATGAGAATATCATTAGTGACTTTCTATAATTGACCTAGTCATCTGGGTCAAGAGACGGTTTGTTAAGCAGAGGTTTAATTCCAGCAACCTTAAAAGCCTTTGGTTCATATCCCTGTAACAGAGATAGATTAATCACATCTAAAATGGAGGAAGAGATCAAAGGGAATACCTCCTTAAATAACCTGGTTGGAACTGGATCTAACATCCAAATTAAAGGCTTAGATGAAGACAATAGTTTTGCTAACTCTGAAAGTTCAACTGAATCAAAGCGGTCTAAACCCGGTTCAGATTCCATGACTACCTCAGATGCTGCCCCACCCTCCAGCGACAAGCCAATCGTGGACAGAGGAGTGCTAATGATCTTTTTATTAAGATCAATCGTATTTATAAAGAATCCCGTAAAATAATTCGTGCTAAGAGCAGGTGGAATGGACGGTTCAACAGAGCTATGGCTCTGGGTGAGTCTGGCAACTGGATTAAAAAGAAATCTAGGATTATTATTATGTTCCTCTATTAATAAGGAGAAATCTGCTGCTCTTGCTTTACAAAGGGTCCTTATACAGCAGTAAACTATTTTTCCAGACTAGGTACGATTCCCGTAGCCCTGTGAAGCAATATTTTCTCTCCAGTTTCCTAGCATTTTGCTTCAAAGGGTGCAGCTCTGCATTAAACCAAGGAGCCAGCTTTCTATTTTTAATGGTTTTCATTTTCAAAGGAGCTGTGTTGTCTAAGGCAGTACGCAGAGAACTAGGAACCCCAGCAACATAATCATAAACCTGTGAAGGGGAATAAACTAATCTTTTGCACTCTGCAGCACTGCTCAGCAACACAGAGGTACAAAGTTGCAAAAGGCATCTCCACTTTCATTAGTCCCTCTTAAAAATTACCCACTTCCTCTTAATACTTAAATTACTTATTCAGGTGTCATTTTTCCATCTGTTTTGTCATGTATTTGTCACTTAGAGAAAAAAAGTCACAGCTACGATTTTATGTTGTAATGCCAGAAAAGAGCCCTGTTACTTTTACCTCTATAATATTCACGGGGACTTTGTACCCTCATCAAAATAGAGACACCCTTTCAGTGGTCACACTGCCATCTGGCTCTACATGTCTTTAGTAATGGTAACCAAGCACTCCAGCCTTTGGGAGTCACACCAAACCATACCAAATAGAACAAAAATCCTGACAGCAGTCTAACTCTTCCTGCGTCTCCCCTCCCTCCCATCCCATCATCCATCTTCTCCTCTGCTCTGTCCTCTCCTTCAATGAGATTATGAGAGTATTTCCTTTGCTCTCCTCCCTTCAACTCAGTCCATCTTCTCATTCACTGGCTCCAGGAGGGTTTTGGGGCGGCCCTGTTGTGTCATACATACCTTGGCCCTGACAACAGAGCTGTACAAAG